AACACAGGCCAGTATTCTTCCTTGGAAAAAAATCCCATTGGCAAAGGAGCCTGGCAGGCTACAGACCATGGGGTTGCAAAGAGTCAGAGAGGACTGAGGGACTAAGCATGAGTGAGCACAAGTGAATAATCTGTTAAACGTAAGAATTACACTTGGGATGGCAAAAAGATCACATCCAAACCACACATTTACCTTGCTAGCCTCATACTTGGGGACACAGGTTCATTGAGCGGAATAATGCAAAATTACAAATACTATTTAAATTGTTTTCTGATGTTGGTGTTGTTTTGGTTTGTGGTTTTTGATCAAGCAAATATAGTCTAAATTCTGTTAAATGAGCCTATCCTAACAATGGTCAGTAATATATAGTTCCAATGCGTTTGAAATTCTTTCATTATTATTCAGGATGCAAGTTCATCAATACAAGCCCACATAATAAAATGTGAATTGGTAAAAGTGCTTCTGCCTGACACTCAATTTACATAATAAACCCCAAAAGTAGGTTTAAAGGCAAAGTTGCTTGGGAAAAAAATGGAAAATCTCTTGTAATATTTTAATAGTATAATCACTATATCTATTAAATGCAATTAAATAGTGAACTATTTAGCAAAATTTAAAGTTTTATAACTTATATGTATAGTAAGAAAATGTAAGTGAATAAATTCATACCTCCACATTTTTTCAAATAGTTTCACTATAATTGGGCTGAACAGCTGCTAGAGCCACTATGAAGAACTTAATTGAATTTATAAGATAGAAAAAGGTTCACCTAACAGAGGAAAAAAATAAATTCTTATGGTTAATTTTGGCTGTATGGATACAGAAAGCAAATAAAAGGAGCATTGCTGGGGAAAATACAGTGCATTCTGCACAAAGATAACATAACAGTAGGTTAATTAGTCCTTAAACCCCAGAAGGTTGAATTGTTTTCCTGAGAGGAGCTCCTAGAAACAAGCAGTCTCTCTCTGACTAACTGTTAAACAGAGGAAGCCTCCCTTCTCTACTGAACACATCAGTGACCTCTGACATCAGCACAGTTGTGGATGCAGCCTGAGGCAGAGAGGCACAGCCAGATATGGCAATACCTTCAGGAAGTGACTCTGTCTCTAGAGTCCTTATGTACTTACCACACAATAAGCTTTTCACAGTTGTTCACACTAATTGATGAAGTGGAAGAAATAATGAGTCAAGATATAAAATCTCCTCCCTTACCAGAGGCAAGATGTTTCCTGGCAGTATATATGGAATGGAGCATTATTTTTTTAAAAAGGCACTTATGTAAGCATGATCCAACAAAATAATGTCAGAATTCTTGAACTGACAAATAATCTGTTGATAAATTCTTCTAAGGCAAATTACTCAAATAATAGCAACCATCCACAAGAGTCCCCTAGCTATTCTTTCAATGCATTTGAATGATTATATCATAAATGGACTGGCTATGAAATGACAATGCTTGCCCAGTATCACTTTTTTATTAAGTGAATGAAAAGTAAAGTTTTAGCTAAGAAATACACAATCACTGTTAGTAACCTCAAAATCATGTTTAACCTTCAAATTGTGTATGTGTGCTATTCACATGAAACTCAAGAAGACTGAAACCAAGTCCTCATTACACAATAATCAGTGTGATTTTATTTTTTAACCATGTTTTCCCTAGTTTGGGTGAAGTTAGGGTGATGCTACACCATGGTATAAACAAAAACATACTTTTTTTTTTTTAACTGAATTCTGTAGCTCCCACCCAGGTATTTCCAACAGTATTGACGGTATTTGAGTCCTCTGTAGTCCCTGAAGGTTTCTAACATCATCCTCCCCTGAGAAGAAAGGGAAATACAGCGCATCTGCCCTACTTACACGGAGGCAGAGAAAACTTCTCGCCAGACACGGCAACAGCACTCCTGGGCCCAGGCGGGTGAGAGCGCCTGGGGGAGCTGGCTCTCTGGAGTCCCAGTGGGAGCCCAGCCCCGCAGCCTGAAGGAAGGAGGGAGCCTGCCCTGGAAATCAATCATCCTGGGAAGGGACGAAATCACCAGCTGCAGCGTCTGAGTCCTGACAGGCCCTGGAGTGCGGGCTCACGCTACACTCAGCAGTGTGGGGCTGACCAAAGAACGGACTGACGAAACTTCCCTGGATCTGCCAAGGCTTAGAATGGTGAAGGGGGTTAAAAAAAAACCAAAAAGCAAACTGGGTATCTTTAATTTCTGGTATCTCCCCCATTCTCCACGGAAAAGTATTCTTAAGTCTCACTTACTGAGTCACTAAATTACCACTGAACTGAACTTTGGCATTGTAGGAAACACAGCAAAGCCCTTCCCTTAAAGTGTCTTCATCAGGAAAGGGTCTGAGGTGAACCGCTCATGACTATAACATTTCTATATTTTGTTGATTATTTCCACACTGCTTTTCCTTTAGAAAAAGAAAAATGCCAACAGAATTATGCTTTATTTATTTTTGATTTTTTCATTACAGTATCCTGACATGTTACATATTTTTAAGAAATCTTATATTGGTAGTGAGATGATATAAAGACATCAATGAAATAATAATGACTTAAAATATGCAAGCAAGTATTTATATTTCTTCCTCAGTTTGTTGTTTTATTGATAAGACCAGTGTATATAGTAATTTTCAGTTTTAAAATCTATTTTTTTCAGATTTCTTCCAGTTAAAAATCTAAATTATATTTACCTCTACCATTTTCTTTTTCCAGGTATGCAAGGGAAAATCAAATATTCCAAACTGTTCCACAGTAGTTTGTTTAGAGTATTAACTCACTTTTTAATTATCTCTCATTTCTTTTAAATGCATGATAAAGTCAAACTATCATCTGATTTCCATTTCTTCCTCCTGTTTAGTAACAAATTTATTTTGTTTGTTTTAAAGAGATACCCTGTCTCATATGACTTACTTAGGAAAATGTGGAGAATCTCTAATTTCATGAACTTCATTCATTCAAAAGATTTTGGCACACTATGCCAATTCCTGAAAGGTGGCCCTATGTTTTTTACCTAATAAATGATGAAAGTTTAATTATATGCCACCATTTTGAAAAAGTATAGTCTCTTTTCACACTGCTTGAGCAATAAAAGTGTCATAAGTAGCCATTTAATTGAGTGTAAAATTAAACAAACAGAATGTAGCATTTTATTTGCAAGCAGATATTGAACTACATATATTTCTGGAAAGACCATGCTTAGTTTTGTTATTAAGACTAAAGGCAGTTTCCATAACGTTCTTTCATGAAGAAAACACAATATGGGTTGAAATACATTTCCACTGAAGACTGATGTAGAAACAGTATTCTACATCTGATTTCAACTTAAAATTCTAAAGAATATGACAATGTTATATACCTTAGAATAAGGCCATTCACAGTTTGCTTCTATAAGTATTAGCCTACTGAAGGAAATATGTTTGATTATTTAGTAGATTACTTTAATGTGAACATTGTTTCAATCAAACTCTTAATTTTCCATACACTATAAATGTTGCTATGTTTTGTAAGTCCTCCTTTGGAATTTGTTATGTTTTTCCATATAAGAACCTTAACATTCCACACTTCCTAAAGTACATTCATCCTATGCATAAATAAGATGGTTACTTATTTCTGGGAATATATGTATTTTTACGTATATCTCAGAGAAGGTGCAGACAGTTGCTCCAAGGTTTTGTGCAGCATTAAGTGTGGGTTTTCCACCAAATGTCAATCAGAACTCTGGACAGCTCCCATCAAGGCGTGGAGTTGAAGGCAACTGTCCCTTAGTCTCTACAAGCAACTCAAAATAATGCTTTTTATTGGTGTATTTGTTTGCTATTTAACAGCCGCCTATTAAAATTGCTTAGTTTGCACCACATTCTTCTTCTTTTTCTTTTCCAAACGATTTCAGCAGTAAATGAATACATACATACATACATACATACATACATATCTTACATACATAAATGCCACTCTTGGCTTTTGCTTACTGGGTTTTGTTGTTGTTTTTTAGTTAAAAGCTCAGCCTTCCTCAGGCGCTAATATAACGTGACCGCAGGGTGTTCGTACACTAATAAGAGGATCTACTTCACGACCTTCATTTGATAATCTCTAAACACGCTTATAACCCAATGAAAACTTGGGCGACAAATAAGATCAGGAAGCCTCTTCACGTTAATTCACCGAAGCAGAGTTTCCCTGACAGCTGACAGCTCTCCTGCCCTTGTTCCCCGAGTTGGGAAACAGGAAAGAGATTTTGGAAATAGACTAGTAGCCAAGGTTAGGAAAGGGTGGCCCTCTGTTTCAGGAAGGGGCTCTGAAAACGCCCCCGGTCTACTTTTCGGGAACTCGAGGCTCCCTGCCAGGTTCCGGCCCCACCAGGCAGCGCCAGCTCCACTGAAATCTCAAGTCAGGGGCAATCCAAGCGCAAATTACCCTTCCTCCGCCTGCCAGCCACTCTCCTGAAGAAAGGCATAAGCGGATGAGAAACAGATTAACACCCTCTACGGGCGAAAGAGGCTGGACCGGCCAGGACCCGTGAGTCACTGTCTCGGGTCGCCTCATCCTCTCCCCAAACTCAGGAGCGCCTTTTGCCCCTTCGGGACGGACCCACTTCTTGGGGGAACAGCGCGAGGGAAGGTGGCACCCCCAACGACTTTCTGGCCACTTTCTTACACTCTCATCTCTCCGAAGTGAAAGTTTCCCTGCACAACTTAGCATCCTCTCATCCGGGGGTCACCGTGGCCTTCTTCCCCGATCTGGACCCAAAGTTCCCGAGGCAAAGGAGGAGAACCTTCCCCGGGGTTCCCCGGGCAACAAGAACTCATCAGTCAACCCGCTCCTGGGTGGAAACTAGTAGCAGAGTCGAGCCTGCCGCCCGGGTAGAAGCCACGGCGGCTCCTCCCGCGGCCGGCCGGGCGCCCCCTCCCCGCCAGTCCCGGGGCGACCCCTCCCAGGAGCCGGGAGCGCGAAGGAGGGCGCGCCCGGAAGGGAGGGTGGGGCGGCGAGCGCGAGTCCTCACCTGAAATCACTGTAAGGGTGGATAATCCAGAAGCCTGCAGTTTTAACCCTTTCCTGCTCCTTCTCCACCGCCTTCTGGCTCCCGAACATGCGGAGGGAGAATTTGTTGACCCCGGGCTGCAGCATGGAGGTGAACTGCCGCTGCATGAAGCCGTACTGCCGCCGGGGCCCCTCGGCGTCCTCGAAGCCCCCGGCCGATTCCTCGCCGCCGCCGCCGCCGCCGTCCACCTTGAAACACACGGAGTTGCCGTGCTCCTTCGCGCCGGTCCCGCCGCCCCCCGGCGGGGTGCCCAGGCGCTTCTCGGCCGCGGCCGGCCCCGCGCCCGTCGCGGGCGCCTTGGAGGGGAAGACGCTGTTGCCATCGTCCCGGCTGTTGGACGAGGAGTTGGGCTTGCCGCCTCCTTCCATGCCCGGGGGAAGCGGCCGGCGACGGCGCGGGCTCCAGACTCGCCGGCCGCCCGGCGCCGGGGACACGAGGCGGAGGGGGCAGGGGCCCGATCCGGCGGCCGCCGAGCCCGGCTGCCCGTCGCGGCGGCGGCGGCGGCGGCGGCGCCTTCTGCTTCCCGCCCGCGCCGCTGCTCGCTGCGCGCCTCGCTCCCGCCGCCGCCGCTGCCCTGAGTGGCTGCGCTCCGGGCTCCGGCGCGGTTGGTGCTCAGGCTGAGGCTGCCCGCGCGAGGCGAGGCTCGGCTCAGCCCTCGCGCGCCAGCGCCTCCCCTCGGCTGCCCTCTGCTGGCCGGAGAGGGACTCTACCCGGCTGCACGCGACACGCTGTGGCTCCGCTCTCGCTCCACTTCTGCCCAGCGTGACATTGAACTCGGGAGCCCTCGGAGACATTCATTTGTACATGTTGTGACAGACTCGGTGTATGTTTGCACGAAAAGGAGGAGAGAGGCAACGAGAGAGTGGGAGAAAGACTGAGCCAGCGGATCTATATTCATCCAAAAGAGACAAACATCCTTAAACTCCTTGGGACCTTGTCACATTGAACTCCTGTTTGAATGATGTTACAGATCAGGGAAGGGGGAAAGGGTGGCTCTGCTTGCAGAAAATTCAGCGTACAGCTGGGTGTGCATTAGAAAGTAGCGGATGACTTTAGATGCTAAATTTCATGAATACAGGGAACGTGTGTGTGTGTGTGTGTGTGTGTGTGTGTGTGTGTGTAGTTGAAGGAGAGAGGCAGACGGGGAAAGAGATAGGTTCTTTGTAACCCAGGGTAATCAGTTGGGGCTTTGCAGATGCAGCTTTGCACCGAGGGACAGACAGCTGACCTCCTTACACTTACCCTTGTTTTTTCTCTGGAGCTTCGTATGCAGAAGATGGGATTTCTTCCTTCCCAAGACCACTCACATCAATTCGCTGGTCTTCCAGCAGCCAATACTGAGAGAAAAGTGTGTTAGGGAAACCTCACCAGAGCTGACCTAACTTTCAAGTTATATAATCTATAGAACATACTAAGAGGCTTGCGTGTTGGCCAGTTTTCTATGATGCTTCACCAGAAAGCCAAGATGCCTTGGAATCTAGACAGAATGTAATGACCCTTTCAGATGGGGAACTTATTCTCAAGTGAAACTTACAGCTTGCTGCTGATGCTGAAGAAAGCATTCTGAGATTCCTCTTATTCCCTTGGTGTCTTCCAAACCTACTGTATTAGCTGAAGGATGCGAGATGTGCTGCCAAACTCACCAGTCACTCAGCAGGGCAGCCCCAAAGTCTGAAGAGCTTTAGGGCTCCCAAATGTCCCAAAACATCTGTTCTAGTTACATGCATTGCCTCCCTGCCTGCAGCCTCGGTAAAGGAATCCCTGCCCGGCCAGGAGTCCCTGATCTCATGGGTCCTGTTGGCGACGCCACATTTCAGAATGAGAGGAGTGGGCATCTCGGGGAGGAAATCTACCACAAGCTGGCAACCAGTGACTTAGCATGAAAAATGATTGGGACCAGTCAAAGTGTTTTCCTGGAAAAATAAAACTGAACAGGGAGGAGGCCAATTGAGAATAGGAGAGGCAGGTATAAAGACAGAGGAAGGCAACTAGAAGCCCCCATGTAGGGTTAACAGAGGCTGAAAAAGAAAGCAGAGAACAGAAGGAAAAAGAAGAGAGAAGCAGAAATGAGACTCCCTTAGGCCTATCTGTGCTCTAATTCTGTACAATTCCCCTTTCCATTCTACTTACCATAGTCTATGCTCCATCTCCTTGTTCAGCACGCTCCACCCTGACTCAGACACCATCTGTTTTTAGCTAATCAAAAACCAGAACCTTAAGAAATAAGTATAGGTGGCCAAATGTCAATGGTAAGAAATAAGGAAAATAGGAACAATATAGTGCTCCCATTTATCAGAGTAGGGACTCTGAAAACCCAGGAGGTCAGGTGAGGATACCAGGTGCTGAGGGAAGAAGGAAACCAAGGAGATGGATAAAAACCAACTCTGCTTAAAGCACAGTTCTTCCGAAGAAAGGCCCGATTACTCAGGCAGCTTCTCTTTATTGAAGATGTTCCCTACTTTTCTCCCATCCTGCAGGCTTCTCCAATCCCTCTATTTTCAGTCGTGAGTGTGACAATGTATATTTTAACATAAATTTTATAATAATTTAAAAATACAGCAACCAAAACGTTATGCTAACTGAGTTTAAGTCACTTTCTCTTTTCTTCAAGCCAATCCTTCTTTTTGTTCTTTTTCAACTTAATCTTAATTATGATCAAGGCAGTTATTTTTGTCAGAATTTTTTCTGTTTCAATGTCTGAACTAAGCTAATATGACAGAATTACTGAAAAATAAATTTTCAAAATAGAACAAAGAAGTGTTTAAATATGGTCACAAATTATTCATTGGTTGTTCCAAGTATAGCTTTTAGGCCACTCTTCATTCATTTAAATTCTCAAAAAGAATACTATTTTTTAAAATTTGAAGAATATGCATATTATATTCACTCATTAACAAAGTTGCCAACAATAGAAAAAGTCAAGTTTCTCCATTTTCCTTTCAGACTGTTGACTTAAATTCATTTATAATGTGGACTGACAAAAAGCTTCCTTAAAAAAAAAGGGAGAAATTGCAGAAAGATTAGGACCGAGTGAAAGCTATGAAAGAATGAAAGCAATCAGGGACAGAATTACCAAATGTGTTTTAGAATGTAACTCAATCATGAAACTTCTGTGGCTAACACAGATCTCTTTCATTATTTAGTTGTTCTATTCTATTTCTCAGTTCACTGAATGAATTAGAGAAGTGTTTGACCAAGGAAGATATTAAGGACTGATTATTCACTCAGCATGATATTGAGGAAATCAGAGCAAGTTAGACTCTGCTCTTCTCCCTCTTCCCATTCTCCAGCTCAGGCCTATATTTTATTTTCCTAATGGTAAAGAGTAAGCTCCTGGAGTTGGTGATGGACAGGGAAGCGTGGTGTACTGCAGTCCGTGGAGTCACAAAGAGTCAGACACCACTGAGCATCTGAGCTGAACTGAACTGAATAGTAAAGAATCTCCTGCCAATGCAGGAGACAGGAGACATAGGTTCTGTCCCTGGGTCAAGAAGACCTCCTGTGGAAGGAAATGGCAACCCACTGCAGCAGTCTAGCCTGAGAAATCCCATGGACAGAGGAGCCTGGAGTGCTGCAGTCCACTGGGTCTCAAAAGAGTTAAATATGACTTAGTAACTAACAAACAGTTTAACCTCCTTTTCACATCATCCTATCCTTCCTCTAATCAATCCAGAAACACGTGTATCATATACAGAACAGGCCTGAATTTTGAACCTTTCCTCAGCATGTTACCATGTCTGTCATGAAAAAACCATCATGTCTGTTCATGATAAACCATCTCAGGCTGAAATCCATAGAGCTAAATTAGAGTGCTTTTCCTTTTTTTTCAGTCATCTTAAAAGTAAGACTACTATCATGTTTCACTCCATGTCATTAGATGTGGATGATGTCAAAGTGCCATGTATTTCAAAGGAATCTGATTTCTGAGGTCTCATCAGAGAGTATCAATTATGAACTCATTTCAGAGAATGCCCCATCAGTAGTTAAATGAGTATTGTTCAGGATATACAAAGATCATGCATCTTTTTTAAATGTTCCATGTTTCCTTTAATACTCTGCTTGAGATCAAATTGCAGGCAACCGCCAAAGATTGATATGAAACTAAAATAAAATCTCCATGCAGCAGACGCAAGCACATGTGAAATGAGACTGAAATAAGATAGATGGGCAACATGATCTTTGACAACATATTGGAAAAATCTCAGTGTAATTTAAAGATTTAAGGGATAAAACATTTTAGTCCTCTTGTTAAAATAAAGGAATATGATCAATACACATTTCACATGTAAGGAAGTAAAGTCAGATCTTCCCGTGTTGAAGTCAATGGTAAGGAACAGTGAAAACAATAGAGGTCCAAAGGCAGTCTCACAACCTCTCTATCTTACGTACAGGCAAACTTGAGTATCTGTTTGGAAAGCAAACACCAGTATCATACTTAATGTGAAACACTGGCACTATTAAAGTTAGAACAAGGCACTCAGTTTCAGCACATCTATAATGCATAGTATTTTCAGTTGATAATATTGCTTCCTTAAAAAGCCATCAGAATCAACTGCATAACCATCACAATTGATAATAGGATTTAGAATAAACAGAATTCTAAAAGCTGATACAAAGCAAACATGGAAAATTTATCAAAGGTGAAAGGATGGAAAAAGATACTCCATGCAATTGTAGTCAAAAGAGCAGAGCTGTCTATATTAATATCAGACAAGATAGACTTTAAATAGAAAAGTTACGAGACAAAAAAATGACATTGTATTATAATAGAAAGTACAATACAGCAAAGAGATAAACAATTATAAATGCATACTTAATGACAAACCATCAATATATATTGTGATTGCATATCCACGTATGCATATATGCACACATATATGAAGCAAAAACTGACGGAATTGAGGGGAGAAGTGGACAGTTCCACAAATAATAGGTGAGGTCTTCAATGCTCTGCTCTCCATAATGGATAGAACAACCAGAAGATAAGTAAGAAAACAGATGACATAACACAATAAACCAATCAGATCTAACAGACATGTATAGAACATTTGCTACAACAATAGCATACACATTCTTCTCAGGTGCACAGAGGATGTTTTCCAGGATACACCACATACTACTCCACAAATTAAGCCTCAATAGATTTTAAAAGATAGACATCATACATAGTCTTAACTGAACACAGTGGGATGCCATTAAAAATCAATAATGAAAATTGAAACAATTCATAAATTTGTGAATACTATTTAAGAAACTCTTAAACAACCAATGGATCAAAGAATAAATCACAAAAATAATTAGAAGATACTTAAGATGAGTGGAAACAAAAATACAGCATGCCAGAAATTATGGGACATGATCAAAGCGC